GTCTTGAACATGTACTTCAAAAGTCTCTGACGTATCAAAAGTACTTTGTGTAATATGCATATATAACTAAACATAGATATTTCATTTATTTTTGTTAAATGTGAAATATATGTCCCCTGGGCCGAGTGTTTGAATACTAGTATATTTAATTTGAATAAAATGTTTCTCATTGTTTTGTGTAACACGTCTCTAAAATAAATCATTTACTGACTAAACATACTGTATCCAAAACAGTACAACATTTTAATAATACATAGATGCATTTGGTTGTTGTTGAACGCCCTTTTCGAGAATTTTTAAACTCATCTAGAGACGCCACCATTTACCTATGCCATTTATTGGAGGGCTGCATACATGAATTAAGACGAATACTCGGCACAAATGGTCATTGAGCATTGAAAGTTCCTGTTTCCTGCCAACACTTGCATTATATACTGCGACACGGGACTTCAAAGGATTCGGTTTAACCCAATGGGCCGGTCTCCACGACCCGCAGTGGGATGTTGAACCCGTGACATAAGGATCAACTCCTTGCTCCTAGACTCTACAGAGCAGAAGCCACTGAGCTACGCTGGCGACCAAACGTAAGTTAAAACACGTCTAGAATTATTTTGCTTTGTAATTTAACCTTTGCCAAGACCGTTGAACACCTTTGGATCCTGAACAACAATCTACAGAAGCCAAGCTAGGATTCCTAAGTCACTGCCCGGATACAATTTCACCACTGGTATTTCATTCTCAGAGACTGACCTATAAGGAATGACCTTGGACAAATACCTTGACACTTTGTCGTAGCAACAGCGTAATGAGTACTTCCACAGTGTCTGTTTCAAACATATTCCAATAATCTAACTTTACTGTTGAAAATTTTATTTTTTGTGATGGCAAAGGACAATAGTCGTCTTTTCCACGTATCTAGTAAGTCAGCTTCCCCCTTTACAGTCTATTCTTATTATGTTTCAAATTCGAGAAATAATTTTATTATTGCTTTTGTGTGATTGCAAGTCTTTTAAAGCATTTGGTTGACAAAATCAAATTTTTATGCTCAAACAATTACTTTACTTCATCTGTTCTATTTCTAGTAGGAAAATCTGCTCTTGCTCCTAATCATTTTATACTAAACCACTGCTGAACAAATTCTTTCCATGAACTGTCTTGTTCACTTTTTATACTTAACTCTTCTTAACACACCTTCTTTCTTTTACAGTTCTTGCAAACTTTATATCCTTAATCGGTCTTCTACACATACTATCCCTTACCGTTATTATACATCTATTCTTGATCGTTCTTGCAAACTTTATTTCCTTAACCGTTCCTACAAAATTTCTATCCGTATCCTTTCTTGTTCACCCTCTATCCTTAACCGATCCTACACCTTTACGCTTTTAATTTTTCTAACACAACTTCTTTTACCGTTCTTGTACACCTTCTAACCTTAACCGTTCTTGTACTCCTCCTAGCTTTAACCGTTCTTGTACACCTTCTTGACTTAACCGTTCTTGTACACCTTCTTGACTTAACCGTTCTTGTACACCTTCTTGACTTAACCGTTCTTGTACACCTTCTTGACTTAACTGTTCTTGTACACCTCCTAGCTTTAACCGTTCTTGTACACCTTCTTGACTTAACCGTTCTTGTACACCTTCTAGCCTTAACCGTTCTTGCACACCTTCCAGCCTTAACCATTCTTGCACACCTTCTAGCCTTAACCATTCTTGCACACCATCTAGCCTTAATCATTCTTGCACACCTTAAAATACTGAGGTTTTGTGTCTGGTAGGCGTTGACAAGATAAAGATCCCTCACTGCTTAATTACTCTGGGTCTAAAATCGAAGCCCTCTCTTCACCAGTATATTATGAGTCTCCATATAAGTATGAATTATCATAAATGAAACTGAAAACAACATAAGATTAATCATATCCATATTTCTCCTCTCTTTATCCGTAACCATTCTGGCGCATATCGTTTCTATAATAATAATTTTTTGTATAACGTTAAAGCTCTTAATTATGCTACGACATACCAATACTTAACTGATTCGTGTGGTATCATTTAGAGTACATAACGTTTTTAAACCGTAGGTTTACAAACTGTTATTTCCCTTCATATAGATTTTTCTTATTTCTGTCAGAGGGTCGGCGACGAAACAAAACAATTATAATGTTCTATAAATTTTCCAACTCGAACTAAACTACATGTACATAAAAACCAAAACCAGAAGTAAAAACTAATAAAAAAATTTGTTTTCAAGATTGATACACATGAACAGACAGTGTTGATTAGTTTATTTAAAAGTCTTCTTTTGTAATCCATAGATGTAAAAATTTTCCCTATGTAGTACAAATAATCAAAATTTTAGATAACAATTTGTCATCTAAGAAAAAAATGTGCATGTGTCATGTTAGAATTTAACCTGGAAAACCACAGATAAAGTTTTTAAAAAAATGTTATTGTTCACAAATGTGTGTGCGCGATGATTACTTTGTAAGAAGTGTGTAAAGATTATCTTTGGTATATCTAGTTAGTTTTGTTTGATAAAAAGGGCTTTAAGATTTAAATATATTTCAAAAATGATACTTCAATGTGCATGAAGGCTCTTTTCGTCATTGAACACTTGTGAAAAGACGGGATAAATATAATAGAAGCAATTTAAGGTTTATTGTCAATTCATAAAGCCCGGTTTTATTTTTGTGGTTATTCGTATACTGGAGTCAAATAGGCATGTCGGAAAGAAGAGGGGGCTGAGAAATTCACGAGGAGTCGGTAGCGTTTTCTTTGTGCTTCAGAAAGCTTTTAAATATAAATATGCTTGATATTATCAAAATCATTTATCACTACATAAAGACTTAGCGTCCATTAAACCAACAAGAAAACGTATTTGCAAATTGTTGTTTGCAATTCAACGCTTTTGATGATACGGATTAAAAGACATAATTTAAAAATTAACTCGTTCCCAGTTGGACTTTGATCTAATCGGAATGCGCATGAATTGAGACCCAAACTCATGTATGAATGAAACTTTGATGTTTTGTGGGATTAAAGCGCATTAGAGATGCTAGTCTCGCATGAACGAGACTTTGATTAACTACTTTTCAGTCAAGTAGCATTTGACCACGGTTTATAAAACATTCAGTGGTTTGCGTGTAGCACCCCGTACACTCATACTCATTGTAAACATATTTCTGGTTCTTTCTGTTTTGTATCATGAACTAGGTATTTAATTCGCCATGGAAAGTGTTCAATTAGCTTTAATCTACTCCATGGTTCTCAGAAAGGCAAGCATGGCTCTTGAGTCTCCGAACCGCCCTTTTTCCTACTACGTCTTTAACTTGTCACTTTAATGGCTTTTAAAAAGACTCTCGGGTGTTCTTCTAATGATTGCAAATGATGGCACTCCAAAGCTCATTTCAAAGTTCAGCAGCGCTAACCATTTCTCGGTGGGTATAAATTACCATCTTAAACAACTGTAGTGACATACTTTCAATATTCCAAATTTTTGAAGTGTTCAATAACCGCGCCGAGTCGATCTACAGATAACGAGGGACACCTGATTTTTTACCAACAGCCAAACTTTGAACAAAAGTAAGATCAACGGCGTTTCTTCTCTGCTGTAGGTTGAGATTATGATTGACCAGTTGGAACGATTTCTTTTTCATATTTCTTAATAACAACTTTCCACATCGCATATTCTTTATGCATGCCGAGGTCCTTCCCAGGGGTTCACAGAAAAGTCTTACCCTATGAAAAGCGTTACTCGATTTAGAATAAAACTCTAATTCATAAATCTTAAGAAACACACAAGTATTAATAAATTTACAGCTAGTCATAAAATATTTTATGGCACAAGAATGTGTCTCGTCTCCTTTACCGTGCCCCCATCTCAATCGACAGCTAAACAGGCCTCGGGGCAAGCCGCTCAGGTAAAAAAAAAAAATGGCAACACCTGCGCAGGACGAGAACTTAAAAGTCATTTCCACTAAGGCTGTCGTCCGACTTCCCCATGTTCTGCCTATGTTATCAAAGGGAAAGTGTCTTCAGGAACAAATTTATGGCATGTTAGATCTCTGTTAAAAAACAGATTTAAAGTCCTAAATCCTTTTACAATACAAATGGCATTTTTTGTCAATTCTTATAGATGAATATGAAAACGTGATTTACTTTCTTGGGCTGTTCATCAGAAGGAAATGATTCGACATCGAACTCTCTATATACTCTCTTTATTTGTTTGATAGTCATTAGCACTTCATTTACTGACATTTTTATTGCAGTCCGAATTCAAAAACTAATATTGAACGTATTAGGGGGACCATGTTACATTTTTTGTCAAATCAATGCAAACGGTTTGAGACAACTACAACCTATCCCTATGTTATGGAGATTTATGGTCACTCTGTGTAAACTAAAATGCTCAGTTGCTTTTTCTTACATGCCCTGACCTGAATTTTCTTAATAGATTTATCAGTTAAATAGCAATATTTCTCAAATATCACTTGCACTCTTTAAATATTGAATATGTAAGCCTTTTCTGTCCGTATACATTGTCGACATGCTTTTTTTTTTTTGGTGCATTTGGCATTTAAAGAGTAAATCTATTTTGTCTAGATCTGTTAAAAAATTATTACTTTTATCAAAATTGAACATTGATTCTTAATAGACGAGACTATACTAGACTTTTGATCTTTACAATATTAATAAATTGCAGATCTGACGCAAGAAAAATATAATGTTTAAGATGGCCGTCTTTCTGATTCAATTACTAAGTACATTGTCTAATTATTAAATTGTCTCATTTTGCAGGCCAGCAGAAAAAAATGCAGTCCAACTAAACTAAAAAGTAAAGTATACGATTAAGCTGTCATGAAAAATATTTTTTGTAAATTTGATACCAAATTTTGCTATACATTTAATTTTTAGACCTTTTTGATTTACTTGTCACTATGTGGAATATTACTTCATTGCCACGTGTTGCTGAATAGTTGTTGATAAAAACCAGAGAAGAAGAATGTTTGTTTTATCATTTTGTAATTGAACAATGTTTACAATGATAAGAACTTAAATAATTTGAAATTATAACAGTACATGGTAATTTCATAATCCAATGTAAAATGAAAATAATGCTATGATTGTCAATGAATGGGAAATTGAAGATGAGCAAATATGAGGCTGACTCTCGAACACGCTTTCTCCGAGAGGCGTTAGAACACACATTACACACTTGTTCCTCCATTTTCACAATAAATAATATCACAACAAATAACAATAACAAGGTCATCATGGCTACCGGCATCCGCAGCCCTCTACAACCATATCTTGGTAGACTTTTAGCACAACTGTGCCATGTTCGTCTGTATATAATAAAGAGAGCGAACTGAGTTCTGTGGGTACACAACAGGGCTTTGGGGCTGCCCTAGGGTCAATGGAGTTCACCAAGTCTTGGACTATAGCATGGTTTGTCACATTCATGTGGTCATCATACGGCCAGTGACATGAACCATCACAATAATAAGCATTATAGCCGGGCGGTGCGAAAATCCAATCGTTCCAACCAACGGCTTTAAAGTCTACATTTAACTCTTTTCTGCGACACTGGTCATTATACTTTTTCCTCTTCGTTTTATTTTTTCTATTGTTTTTCTTCTTATTTCGTTTCCTCTTTTTATTTTTTCTATTTTTCCTATTTTTTCTAACTTTCTTTGTTTTATCACTGGCGGCACGCTTAGTCCGTGACCCACGGTTATCGTCCGTAAAGGTCACCAATAGAGGTCTCTCATGCCACACTTCCTCAACACTTTCTACATCTCGTCGTAAACGCACATGTTTTATAGAGTCTGTGGACGGTTTGTTTTTAAATGATAACACACGTACTTTTAATCCATGATTTAAATTAGGAGTCTTTTTCCATTTTAATACTGCTGGGTGAATGTCAAAAGATTCCCAAGATGCATTTCTTCCTCCAACGTGACGTACGTCCAGCAGCCTAGTTATGGCTTCAGAATTTTTTGTTTCCGGCTGGAGAACTTCATGAATTTCAATTTTATGTCTGAACTGTTTCCTGTTTCCCACTGGATTTTTCGTTTCATTATTTTGATCAACGAAGAGTCTCAGCTCAGCACCAGTTAATGATTCCTCTGTTGGAATGGAGGATACATTGAAGTAAAAATGGGCGCAGTTGTGCTCTCCGCACCCCGCCATATTGATGACGTCAGTAGTCAACTCTGTAAAAGAATACAACATCTTTAAGGCTTTGTTTTGTTATGTTTTAAAATGTAAAATATCAATAAATGTTCATAAGTGTGTCCTGCATTTAGTTTAAATAAAATCTATATTAAAAATTTTGACAATAACTCTCTCTCTTTCTCTCTCCATTATTTCCTATTTTTTGGATTAAAACAGAATATATTTAACTAACACTGTTTTGTATGAACATTTTTTGTTAATAAGTAATTTCATTTTCATAATTTGCACAGATTGATATGCAAATCAGAATAAAAATATTTATTCAATTAACGTTGACATACTTGTGTCCCTTTCAATGGTTTATAAATCGCTAGTCTTGTCAAATTTTATCATAAAACTATCATTAAGTTTTATTTTATACTTCACAAAGATTTTTTTATAAAAGTTCTGAATTCTTGCATATTTTGTCAAATCTGATTTATCATTCCTTCCTTTCAATAAATAAATAGTAAAAATAGTAACCAAGACAGGAAAATGTTAGTTATAAGAAATGAATGTTGAAGTTATTTATTATTTATTTACCTTTATGAAGAAAACTTCTAACTGTGTTGGCAGACCCTGCACCACGTCTTTTGACATTGACGCTATCTCCGAGAGAGTCCGGGTCCTCGCTGTGTTTTTCATACAAATCCAACAAATACTGAGGAATAAAAGTGTCTTTCTTCGGTTTAGGTCGCTCTCTCAATCCGAAGAGATTTAAAAAAGTTTTCTCAAAAGCTTGTATGATCTCTCTTCTTCGATTTTCGTCGTAGTGAGAAGGAAAAGCTGATCCCAGTAAAGAAGAGGAGGACGTCCCAGCCAGCCCGGTGCACGCTAGCAACAGTAGAAAACCAAATCGACAGAAACTCATTGTGAAAATGCCTGTAAAACAAAAGGAAAACCATTGTAAAACAAAACTCATTGTGAAAATGTCTGTAAAATAAAAAAAAATTGTAAAAAGAAACTCATAATGAAAATGACTAAAACAAAAGGAAAACCATCGTAAGAATCTTGATGAAACAGATTTTAAAGTATTCTGTAATCATCTTACCAAACTTGGTTTAACTTTTATTTTCTAAAATACACATGTAGATACATTGATTCAACAATATTTTAAGAACCTTTTCAAAGGCACTTTTCAATAAACAAAGCTTTGCGTCACTCTGTCTTTATTTACTTATTTACTTTTTTATCGATGAATGGGGATTCCCATTGTAACTCTTGTCTTGTTTCAATATCGAGATCCTATCAGAATTTGAGTTATGTGATGGATTTGGTTGATATTTATAAAACATTGGTGATTCAGCCCATGTTGGTGGGTGGACAGTGTATAGTCACGGTCAATAATCGGGTCCGAATTAGCTGCAGAATTTGTTTTATGACGCTCTGGAGATATCGGATTAACAAAACAAATCACTACAAACGCCTATAAGTATCAAGTTTAAACTCAGTAATCAACGGTTTTATCAAGATGGGGAGTGCTTTGTAGAACTTTCGCTTCTATCTAAATTTGGGACGAGTCTGACGTAATTTTTAATTAATTGGTAGCATCTAATACATTCCTCACTCTATACACTCAGTTTTTTGCTCTTTTTTGTTGCTGTTTATAGTTTTTGTTTTAAAAGTTTCCACATATTTTTTTCGAAGGTCGGTAACATCTTAAATAATTTTTTTAAGAAGAAATATTCGTGATATGTCTAAGAAGAAAATAAGATAAGAAGCAAAGAACAAATGAGAAACGCTTGTTAAGCTCCAGGTCTACTAACGAGGACATGTAGCAAGCTAGGGTGATCAAACAAACCCGTGTGTTGTTTAAATTAGGCGGGGCGTACGAAAGACATATAAAGCACTCTCTCTAAATAATCTTTGCTGGCGATGTGATAAAAGAAAGATCAACTAATCGTAGTGTATAGCCCTTTGCTTTATCAACCAGAACTCAAACGAGGTAGGGTACATCCTCATTATTAGGAAAGTATTTCACTGCTTGCAAGAATTCATCCAGACTTGTATTTCTAATGTACAATTACCCTTAGTAAATTCCGGAGCTGTTCAATGTGTGGAAAGATCATTATGTTAAACACTAGTAAAGAATGCTAGTACACACAAAGATATTGTGAATGCTTAGGTACGGAACAGCGAGGAAGCCGGTATCTGAGGGTGGGTTGAAGATAAAGTGACGGAAATATGAGACCAGTTTGTACTCGGGGTCGATTCTCAGGGGTTACCGCTTCAACACCCGTCACGCGACGTTCAAAGGCGCGCATCAATAGGCTGCTACTCCAGGAATGCCAGCAAATATTTGATTTCAGAGATTTGTTTCTTTATTTTAACAATCTATAAACATTCCTCGGTTATTGTTAAAACCAAAAGTATACATGGACTGCTTGCATGTTATTGCGGGCAATAGGAAATTAGGTGATCACCAAAGTCGCGTGGTCTCTTCATTAATGCAAGAGAATAATGGTTGATGTCACTTAAATTACTTTTTCTATACGTTAGATAGTATCGAAGGGACTTTTGGTCTTTAGGTAGCTTAGTGGATTAAGCACAGCCCTGCCTTTATCTAAACGCTTTCACTGATACAATAGTAACTCCTAACCAACGGTGCTATGTTAGAATCAGTGCTTTAATGAAGATAGGGACTTTTCGTTAGATAATACCCATAGACCCACGACCGTTTTTTTTTCATACACAAAATGACAGGCGTTTTGCTGTAGGCAAGTTTTAATTCATTAATATCATTCTACGTTACACCAACAGTTTACTCCTAGTACATTATAGGGAGATGATTTCAGAAGACAGATGGTTGCCACCTTTACAGTTTGATTGATATTCTCTGCATTATAGTTCTTTTTAGATGCTTCATTTAATCCTCTCAATCAAGGCCATATTTTAATAATGTTAACACTTTGAAATTATACCCCCCTCCTTTTTATTTCTGTTGCACGTGTAGGATACAAACTTTTACACCACACTGTACTAGGATCTCTGTTACAGTTAGTTTTCTTTTTTTCTTGGCAAACTGTCTGTCTTTCAGTACAATTTTACTCCTGTACTCGGCTTCTCCAAGTTAAAACTTGTGTGCAATTTTTAATTTAAATAAATTGATCTTATAAAGTCGTGTTTTTCCCGCGATGGATAATGTTTAAATTGTGTTTGAATTGAAAACAGTTATTTAAACCATCTTGTGTCAATAAAACGACTGATCGAGGTCTCAAAAGTCAAACGAAAGATTTTCTTAACCGTATTGTGTTATTGAAAAATCGAATGTTGATTTAACACTGTTTAAAGCTGTTGTAACCCCAACAGGTGTTTTATATTTGAATTTACAGATTGGAATAATTCCTACTGCTATTTTTCAGGAATTGTTTGCCTTTTCTTAATAGGATATTTCAATTTTGGACATGATTTCAAACTAGGAGATAGAGGCCCAAAGCAGAAAGCTATTAAGAAGGAACGTAACGAGGTTTAAAAAATCTTTTTATTAATACGCACATACCAAACACTGGGACGTTTATTTTCACAAATTGTTGATCGCGATCTTTCGTCTTGATAGGGGACTATCATTGACCCTCAGGACCCCAAACATATCTAATTTTAATTAGTACGTTTGACAAGGTTATAATATGGTAATTGATGTTTATCAGAGTAAACAAGATGTTTGACAGGACAATATTTGTGCGACCGCCCGTACCCCTGGGATATTTTCAAGTCCCGCTACTTACACTAATATAGAGCTGCGTTCCTGCACGGTCTTCCATTAGTTTGTTAATTCCCCTATTTAATGTCATAGCACATTCTTCTATAAATTCCAGATATATACAGAAAGTAAATAATCCTTGTGTGTGAGAGGTTTGTTTTCCCTTGAAGTTAGCAAATCCTGGGTCTAAATTTGTTCCTCAACGAAAATAGCTCTGATGGTTCAAACATTCTCAACCGGATAAGGTTTAAATCACCGTATTAATAAATCATGTTTATCGTTGGAACAGGTGGTTTATTCTGAGGAGAATACGTGTGCATTAATAAGTTCCAAACTTATAAGCGGCCGTCGCCAAACTGTACACCGCTTCCTTTAAATTTTCTCGAGAAATAACAACACTTTAAATTCTATGTCTTGAAAAGTTCATTATTTGTTCCGGTCAACGAGATAATCGTTTACTTAATGAAAAACTCGTTGCACGTTATAATCCCTTAATGTCAATTTCTATATTATGTCTAAGAATGAAGTGTGTGTTCTCATATATATAAAGCATGAATACTAATGAGAAGGCGGAGCTGCGCACGCGTTTAAACGTCTGTCAATTATCGAGTATCGTACACATTTTATTTATTGCCCATTTCTATTACAACCGCAAATATTGCCCATTGTAATACTTTACATTAAAAAAAGTCAATTACTTAATACCTAAAGTACACTGTTACTTTCCACTCGATACATAGAAATAAACTATAGTGGAACCATTTTAACAATGTGATTTTTTTTCTCTTTTTTTCCCCAAATAAAATATTACAATTTTGACTTATTTATTTCTTTATTATCTTTTTCTCATTCTGTTCTTTTTCAGAGTAAAAACTTAAGATTTACACCGAACTTTTATCGGTTAAAAATATTTGAATATATGACACTAACTTACAATTAAAATTGGGTTTAATTTAATATAGACTAATTATAAACGAATAAAATTAAATGACCACTGCGAATTAAGTGGGATTTTTTCATAGTGATAATTAAAATGACATACCTTGCGATAATTTGAGGACATCGTTTAAAATGATTTGTCTCTCAAGGTAAGCATTTGTCGAACCTTAACATCTGGAAGCGAAATATACTTACTTAACAGACACGCGCAAATAAATTTAATTAATAGTACCATTTAAAAATGATGTGATCAATTGCTTTATATAAACAAATTAATTTAGCGAGTTATCCAATCAGAGCTCTTGCCGTGAAAGCTTTTTTTCACGCTTATGTTTGTGTAGCAAGCGCGTGCCGTAAAAAGGGATGTATGGTAGTAATTTAAGATCGGCATTTATGAAGAATTAATTACCATTGATTTCAATTGTTAAAAATATAAAGTAATACTACAAACAATTATTTCTTTTGAAAACTCAACAATCTGTTGAAGAAAAAAATTAAAATATCTTTGTCACTGCTAAAATTATCTTGAGTATTTGATTAGAAATTCAACATATAAGTTTGAAAATGAAGATTTTCTTTTAAAAGCACTTTTATAAAAATTAGAATATTTGAAAATCTTGCAAATAAATGTTTAAAATTCCTTCTCATGCTATTTTCATATATTTCACGTACGCTCCTATAAAAACTGTGTCAAAGACTGAAGAATACACTAAAGTAGAAATTTTACAAATAGCTAACTAACAAGGTACACACTTGAAAGCAAATCCCCTGTGTGCAATAAAATTTAATTGTTCGTTTTTAACGTTCTAAAATAAGAACACATTGCGGCCGGGATTTTTGAGCTTCGTATTTTTTCCCCTACAACTGAGCCATTGACGTTCATTCAGAATAGGGAAGCATTCTTCCACCGCGGGAAATTTTACGAGTTTAATAAATCTATGTGATTTTTTTTTCTGTTCCAAGTCTCAATTTCCTTTTGAAAAACACAGTTAAACAAGACTCCTCTTCAAATTTCTTCAAATAATTTAAAAATATTACCATTCCGATTCCCATCCGTGATAATCCAAAAAAAAAAGTTAAGGGATATTCCGTGAGAAAATGGTCACCATGGATGTTTTCTGAAATCCAGTAAGTACCTTCAATGTTCCAGGTGTCTTGAACACATCTGAATTTTACAGAGCGACATAACACGCGGTCACGTTTGATTACACAAAGAGAAATAGAGATAAAAATCGAAACAGATGTTTCCTAGAGGTACAAATCCACAGTGTACATTTTCAATTAAATTCTATTACTTGTCTAGCTTACAGTCATCAAGATATTCTGTTTTATTATCGGGAAACATACCGTACATGTATGTTGTACTTCTAACATTTTCTTGCTCATTTTAGGAGGTGAGCAAAAAGGCATGCAGTATATTTGACCCCTTTTAAAATATGTCATTTCATTCCAGTTACATGATCAGTTTTTCAAAATCTACGCTAGCTTGACTAGGACAATTCTTAAAATAAAAACAAACAAACAAACAAAAAAAAAACCAAAAAAAAAAGCAAAGAGTCAAAACAAATCGAATAAAAAATAATAAAAATTCAAGACACGAAAAATTAAAAGGGCAATGTCTTTAAAAATAAAAAAAAAACACCAACAACAGGACGTTCGTGTTGCAGCCATAGACAACACCCTCTTCATTAATTTCGCAATTCAGAACCTTTAATCATCATCTAAAAGTTTGAATTAAATTTTCACTAGTAAAGGGCAATGTTAAGAATGTTCTAAATGTAGATCTTTTTTGGCCAAAAACTCGTAGAAGACTTTTTTAATACCTTGACATTTCACGATGGAATCCAAAAGCTGATATCAAATAAAGCTTCAAATGATCAAATTAACTGTCTATCAAAATCATTTTACTTACTTAACCCTGACCCTTTCATACTCTCTAATTATGTTCTACAATATACAAAACGATAATGTAGATTTTATTGAATTTCTAATAATAAATGTGTCAAAATAACAAGTTTTTTCTTTCTTGAAAAATGAAATTAACATTTAAAAAACGACAGTTGATATGCTGTTATACGTCTGTATCAACCCGGAAATGGAAATTATTGTAGTGAATGAAACAGATAAAAATAATCACCGTGCACGACATTTCTATTTAGTGTTATATTCATTCATATTTTTCAGGTGTTGTTATTATAATCCATTAATGAATTTGGTCTTATACAATTAGCATCACATGAATTCTTGGAATGAACTTACGCCGTGTATTTTAGAACTTGTGAACAATAAATAAATCATACTGGAGAATTCGAACGCAAAATGCTCTAAAATGAAATTTAGTTTTCGTAAATCATGGCAAATAAAGGTTGCAAAAAGAAAAAAAACAACCTTTTCTGTACATGTATACTGTTGGAAATTATACACAAGGAGCGAATGCTTGAGGCGGTATCTTGATTTCAAAGATGACCCTTTTTTCATATATCAAGCTGTAAATAATCGCTTTTATATGACATCTTTCTAAAGGATTTTTTTTTAAAGATTTTGCTGTCCATAAGTTAAAATATTGAGACGCCGTGCATTATGAATGTAAAGGCAGGATACTGAGTTCCGTACCTTATCTATTTAGTAGTAAAAGGACTACATTTTTGAGAAAGTAGAGGAAGAAAGTAAAGCTCGATATTTAATTTTACATTGTTAATAGTTGTGATACAATTTACGTTTTTTTAACCATTTTTTGTCATGTTCAATTTAATTCCTTTATTCCATATATATTTCAAAGAATGACAGGCACTTTTCCTTAGGCATAGAAACTGCTCATTTTGATCTAACTTTACACTGAAGATTAAACTTCATTTTCACGTAAATTTCAAATACTTCAGTACTTTGCTAAAAAAAACAACAAACAAACAAAACCCTAGATAATAGAAGCGGTCTAAAAATTTGGGATGGAAGAGTACTGTTCCATGAATATGTACATTGTAGTTTATATACTATTAAAACACAGAAAAAGTACTCTCCCTATAAGGACTCAAAAAACAAAAAGGTCTGTGTCAAAATAGATCAGGACCTCGTGATCAGTATGTTGCCAATCGCTAGCTGCAAAACTCTAGCTCTCTGCTTTATATGTCCGAATTTTCTCGACCAAAGAACTACAGTTCTGCAGCTATAGCCAATCGCATACTCCAAAACGCGTAAAATTCGTCTCATTGTTTTTGGATATGAAATGAAGACTTTCCCAAATAAAAACAAGACTATATGATGTGGCCTTTTGGATAACGTGACAAATGTACCTATCCCATTTCTGTATGACCAATATGCATTCACAAATTCAGAGGGCTGAAAACTGCTTCTTAGACATCTGTATACTAGTATGTTAAAAGCCAAACATTTATCTCAACTGGAATTTATACAGTTGATGACCTTTCCGAACTATTTAGGCTTCACATCTCTTAACTCGTTATCAACAGAACTAAATACTAGTACTAGTATTCCTCTGTACGTTTACTTTCATTAAATTCATCACCTGCTACGGGGTATATATCTCTCAGTTTGATTCGATACGCAAGAGCATGCTCTGAACAATTTCTAAAATGAGGTAAGCTATTGACAAAAAGGTTGATTTAACAAGAAAACAGCCTCGTTTTAAGTCATCATTTCCTAAGATTTATGGTCGATACAATGACCTTGTCAGCAAGTACAATTTATCATTAAGTCAAATGCTGACTGACGTTTTTCATACATATTGTTTGACCATTATTTACACAATGTATTGTCGACGGATTTCCCGTTGTTTCCCAATCATGACAAGGAGCACACGGCAAGTTGGGCCGATCGGCGGGGATACTCACTCCTCCATGACACCTGATCCCACCTCTGATGTTTAAGAGATCCGCTCTGCTCAAAATTTGTATTGTTTAATGTACACTTGAGCTTGAATACTTCGTTATCTAATACTGTTCTTTATCTCCATATATTCCATTCTATTTGAATGAGGCTTAAAATACATATTTTTTCGTTAATAATTAGTTCACGTGAGGTACTTTTCCCCTGATGTGTAATTACGAAAAGATAATTGGTCAAATAAAAGTAACATTTCCGATTGTCTCAGATTCTTTATATTAGCCGAGACATTTTTCTGGAAACCTAGACCAGCCTTACATTTATATACCCAGAGAACTTTTTAACATTGTTGTTTATTTCTTAATTGCCTCCCTTATAATCCACTGAAACAAGGGAACTACAGGCTTGCGGCTGTTGAAAGCTTTTAATTGATAAATTCTTTGACAATTTCTTCCTCTACTTTAAATATATCCCGCGTGGCGCAATGGTTAGAGCGTCTGCACTAGAGTCGCGGAGTAAGGAGTAAATCCTTACGTCGCGGGTTCGAATCCCACTATAGGATGTGGAGACCGCCGGGTCCTTTGGATGAAACCGTATAAACCGAGGTCCCGGGCCGCAGTAGGTGCTGGCACGAAAAAAATCCCTCCCTGCTCAATGTCCCTGAGTGCCAAGTATAGGACGAAATTTGCAGTTCTCCACCGGCAAGCGATGGCGCCTCTACATGA